AAAAAGGTAAAAAAAAAAAAAAAAAAAAAAAAATAGGTAGCTTATGCAGTATGACATAGACATTTTTACAAAAGCAAACTAAAGAAAAATAGGTGTTGAAACTCTTAATCTTAGGAGAAAATACTAGATCACTGATATCAGCTTTTGAAGGACTTAGGGCGCTGGAACTGCTTGGAAGAAATTGGAAGCACAAGGATCAAATAATTCAAGGTATGTAAGGATCAATCTTTTCAAAAAAGATCATAAGAAAAGCTAAACTCGAAACACTAGAGTGCTAGAAAAAACTGGTGAGGTTAATTATCCAGCAAAGAGTCCTACACTCCTTTCAGCCCCCAAAGTATTGATGAGGTGATTACTGACAGGTGTGCAGGCTGCTTAGAGTCAGAAATGCCCTCCAGGTGATCCTTTCTGAGTGTGAGACTCATTCAAAATCACGCCAGAATCCTGACAGTTGTGTTGTGGGTTGCAGCGTCCTCCTGTTAGACCTTGCTGTTTCACATGCTTAACTGAGCACAACAAAGTGCAACAAGCCTATTCATTAAGTTCTATTGAGCGGATTAAGGTGCAAAGCAATCCAGGAAAAAAATTAAATCATAGGAGAATGAGTTAGTTAGATGATTATCTATACAAAATCACTATTCTTACTTTGTTGCAATGAAATATGCAGTGATGTTACAGTCGAGTATGAACTGCTGCAAGCTTTTAGAGATCAGTTTCTTTTCGTTCTTCTTCCACCACCTCTAATTTCACCTTCCTTCTGTGTCATTTTCACTTATAATAAACCGTTCTGGTGCAAAAGCTGCTGACATAAACAGATCTGAGAGGGGTGTTTATTTAGAGCTGAGTTAAAAGGAGTGATCTTTACACAGCCGCTGAAACATGATAAAGCCTGGTAATGGAATGACCTTTGATGTCTTAATCTCTGTGTAGGTTGGTTAAAAGGTTAATAGTGTTTCATCACATCATGCTCACATCTTCACACAGTTTTCCATAAATTCCCTATAACATGTAGTGGGTAACACATTCAAAGTAGCTTTTTATCAGTCATAAAAGCTGGCCGTCAGGCATAGTTGTGCAGGAAGAGAAGATCCTCCAAGAAGCCAGATGCAATCTTGAGCCTAACCAGAATAATCAGTCCATTTGTGTACATTAGAATCTGCATATTCAGTAACTACAAAGACCTTTGGCTCCAGAGACCTAGGTATCAAGCTCATAGTATTTAAATCTGATATAGAGAAAAGAGGGAGCTTTGAAGAGGAAGCTAGTTGAACTGGTTTAGAGCCTGTTGCTATGGTAGCCATGTGGAATAAATCAGCAGCATGAATTCCATTCACAGATGCCTTCAGCACCCTGCCGACTCAGGTGGACCAAGACAGAATATGAATGAGTTATAGGGTCCTAGAGAGCTCTCAGAAAGGGGGGAAGAAGAATTCCAACTAGTTGTTGGCAGTTCATATGTTTTCTTTTGTTTATGCAAATTCCTTACAACACTGATGTAGCTCATTTACACTGATTCTATCTCCTCTTTTGCAGTAGGACTGTAAAGTCTCTAAGTTGTCAGACAAATGTGATGAGAGCATAAGAGGGCAAACGCAGAGACAAGCTTGACATAATGTGTCCACTCTTGCCCAGAGTCAACTCTGAATAAGCAGCTCATCCGACACTGAGACTTTTGAACCTAAACAAAACTAGAAATAGGAACTTTCAAATCCAAACTCTACAGACTGTTTGCACACATCGATTCTATCCGTGACATAGAATTGTTGGATCTGCAAATTAGCCAGTAACTAAAAGATCTAGTGGTAACTTTGTTTGTTCACGTAACAAAGAAACCTTTAATTGTAGATACTGTAATGGGAACACGGAACATGTAAAACATGTTGTTTTTATTCTTTCTTTCTTTATATGTGTGCATGAGCTTAGCATATCCTTTATTAATTCTTTCTGTAAACCAGGTAACAGCAAGGAAGAAGAGTAGTCCTGTTTTTAATTGCAGGCATTTTAAGGGTAAAATCTACACAGTTTTCACAATATTGAGATTTTACCATTGGGATAGTTAAGGAATATAATGCTGATATAAGCTTTTGACAGATATGTAACAGTTGTCTTACCACTTTATGAATACCCCTTAAATGCAGTCAAAACAGTCGAGATAGAAGTCAATAAATAATGCACAAACTGAGAAAAGGCATACATGACCCTACTGAGTACAGAAATGAGCACAACTAGTACAAGCTTTCAAACAAAACATCTGGTTGATTCTATCATCTTAGAATCAAATGAATATTCATATCTCTTCTGTTTTGCTAATGACATGCCTGAATGGCTGCTGAAACATTTATTTGTTTCTTTCTTTTTATTATTATTTCCCAGAGGAAAATGAGATTTAACTACTTGTGATAACTATGCCTCTCATCTGCAACATCAGATGGTTTGTCAATCAAAAAGAGACTTGATATAGGGGGAACAAAACGTCACAAGAGAAGCAAAAATTACAATTTGATTACATAGATATAACCAGATCTACACAGAAATAACCTCAAAGCAAATACAAAACACAATATGCACAATTGACTCACTTGACTAAACCTTCAGCAGTACCAGTGGTAAGAGTAGATAAATAAAAAAAAAAAATCCACTGGTAAGATCTTTTTTTTTTTTATGTATTGAAATAGGTTTTACAAGTGCATAAATAGTATTTGTATTCTTGGGGGGCATAGTTATATTTGAAACATGCCTCAAAATACCCACGAGAGTGACACCGCAACAGTTGATACTAGACACATATAAACACTGTATAATATGACACTGAACAATTTTTCTTACTGCCTATTATTCAAGCAGAGTAAACGTCTGACATTTTAGGTCACTTATGATTACTAAAGTTAGTTATATTTGCTAAATGCCAGATTGTTAATTTTTGTTATTTATTGCTTTCTTCAAAGTCAAAAGTTTACACACACAAATAATATTATTACTTTAAACAATCTGATAAAGCTTGTACTTTGTAAGCCCCGCTTACAAAAAGTTGTAAATTCTGGCAAACTGTAGTTAAAGGCTTGCTGAAGAATACTCAAAACATTTGACGAAAGTCATACAGATGCAATGTGTTGTTACCAAATACTAAGAAGATTTAAAACTTCTGAATTTAAAGAAAGCAATGTAAATTATCTTTAAGATACTCTCAAATTATAACATTTAGCAAATGGAACTAACTTTGGTAATCCTAATTGAACTAAAACAGGAAAAGTTTAAACTGATTTAATGTCAGACAAGTATACAATGGAAAAGGTTTGTGTGTCTTTCTTATACTATGTATGTAAACATCTTGTTAAACTGTGTATTCTAGTGAACATTATAACCACACATACTGCTTACGGTCTCACCCTATCAATTCATAGCGTTATGACCATACAAGCAGAACAACAATCTATCTTCCAGTTTTTGACATTATTACATCAAAATAGCTCAGTGTAAAAATAAAGAAAATAATTTACCATGCAACTAAAAATTATGTCTGACATTATAATTCCTTTTCTCATATTTTACAGAAAATGTCATTACTGCCACTCAGTGAAGTGCTGAGAAAGGCTGAGATTTAAAGAAGCAGTCTTGCAGGGTCCTGATTGATCAGCCTACATGGCGTGTCTCACCGATCAGAGGAAACTTTACACAATTTTGTCCATCTTTTCTCATGAGAGTCTCTTTTCTGTGCTAATGGTGATGTCTGTGTGTGTTCCTCTGTGGTCTACAGTAAATAATAGGGTTACATCACAGAAAAAGATAAGATGTGACTTTTAAATGAAGCATAAAAGACCTCAGTGGTAAATGCAGCTACAATTGTAAGGCAACCTGCTAGTCTATCTCTTGCAGCTCTTGTTGAACGTACAGCGTATACTTCTTAGATGTTGCAAACACAGCGTATGAACTTTACACAGTGTGTGTGTGTGTGTGTGTGTTTATGTGTAGTGAGTCTTTGTTGTCCTCAGGTGTCAAAAGTGTGCCTGGGAGCTCGGTGGGAGTTCTCCTCTCCCCTTCCTTTTCCTTTCTTCTCACCACCTAAAGAAACATACTTCCTTTTGGTCTTTTTGCGTTTCTTATCAGAGCACCACACTCTCTCGCAGTATTCCTCCACTTTCTGAGCATCACCGTAACCAATTAGCTGGAGGAACTCCTTATACCAGAGCCTGGAATTGGATGCTGGGACTGAGGGTGGTTGCAGAGATCGAGGGTTGACGCTGGGGGCAGGTGCAGGGAGTAGGATAGAGTGGCATTGAGCTGAAGCTCCGTCTCCGTCGTTAGGCTTGTGCATTGCCGTCTGAAGAATCTCTTCTCGGAGCACATGCATGTTGACCCGCAGTAACGTGTGCACATATCCGTGTTCCACAGTCTGACACACGTACATGCCAGCGTCAGAGCTCCTCACGTGTAAGAACAGAAGCCCGTGAGACGTCACGATGACCCGTTCATCACCTCGTACCTGTACAAAGAAAAAAAAAGTAATTATTCAGCTGAGAGGGATTCGGAAATACATGGCACTACTGCTGGATTAGCTTTCCACCCAAGAAGAATTATAATTGAAAAATCTATTTTACATTCAGAGTCAAGGAAGGGTGTCACTTAATCAGCTCACTCAATACAATGACTGATGCTTTTTGTGAACTCTTTCTCTTGCCCTATAGAGTACATCACAAAAAGTAGGATCTTTAATCTAATTGTATGGTTATTTATGTCAATGGGGATGTGTTGGAGTTGAGAAAAGTGGAGCAGAATAAAACCGTTCGGGGTGTTTAGCTTCTCTTAAAAATATGTTACGTAATGAATACTTCTGTTTACTGACGCCTAAAGTCAATGTCAACAACTACAAGTACGTCCAAAATATCACCCTAAATTCAACTTATTAAAAAAATTGGTTCAAAGAGAAACTTTTTTTTTCTTTTTTTTTTTTCTTTCTTCCATTTTTCTTTGTGGAAGGAAAATGTATGGAAGAACATTTTTAGAAGAAGCCACTGCATCCTTGAGACGACTGTAAAGTGAAGCCTTTAAATATGTTTCACGGAGATTCACAAAATGGATTATGGCAGAAGTCACTGCTTCTGCCACTGCCATTGCCTGCAGTGTGTCTTTAAGCGCAAACACACACTGCAGGCCATGCAGATATATCCAGGAAATAGGTTAGAAATTTTCTATACCTATACCTTGTGTTAAGCCACTCTGGAACCATAGACATCAGTATATGAAAATACTACCAGTACCTGGTTTGTTGACCGTAAACTTACTTGACCTAAAGTTCACAGATTTGCTATGAATTGTTAGGTTAATAATGAAAGACCCCAGACACAAACTGAAGGCCTCTATTAAAATAACCTGGGCTTTCTTAATAGCTAAGCAGAGTCTCTGGTTAAACACCTCCATGCATGGAACCAGAACTAGTAACCGTGTGTATGTACTGTTAGTATATTGTCATACTTTTAATTCTGCTGATGTTACTTCATTAAAATTCTCTTTTAAAATATGATTTTTTTAATGTACAATTTAAATGTAAATTGTTTAAGTTTTAAATTGTAATTTATGAAAATCCACCCGTATATATTACCTGAAATTCAGGCACATAATACCACTGCACTGACAGAAAAACAAGTTGTACAAATTTGATCAAGCAGCTAAAATACCAAAATATTAGTGGGGGGAAAAAAAACAATAATTACCTCATGTTTTTCCCCTCCTTTCTCCAAGAACCAGAGGACCTTAGCTTGAAGTGATCGAGGGACACATTCCAGTAAAGTGGTGTTGCTCTCAATGCTGTACATTAGCTTCTCCTCAGCCCTCTGCCACTGTTCATCTACACTCACACACACACACACAGACACATATAATAAAAGACTGAGAGGTAGGACTGATGGCAATGGACTGCAGTGAACTTTCATTATATGGCTAATGTAAAGCTGATTGTTTTTTTTTTCTGCCATGATACGAGCACGCTGACCTTACGTTAACCTCCAACTAAAATGGCACATGAAGACGTTCTTTTATGCCAAGCAGTCCTTCTTGAGACCCCATACACACGTATAAACACATTTCACAGCAATTTTATACACTAACCATCAATTTGCAGTCCATTGCACAGCTGTACGGCGTTGCCATGGCGAACATCCTGTCGCCTGAATCGTCTGCTGCAAAAAGAAACCCAAGATGGAATCATTTTTAACATGTGATGAAAGCGGGATAGATGAAAGAAACTGAAACACAGAAATTAAAAGTGAGAGAGTGAAGGAGGGAAAGATGAAAGCAAGAGATGGTGGATCAAGTGCATACTGATAGGCCTTACATAACACCTGACTGTCATGTCTGTGAGTGATAATGATTTGGTAAACCAAGATCATAATCTTTTGTCTTTTAAGCAAGAAGATTTACTATGATATTTTATTTCATCTGCTGTGTTAGTGTGTGAACTGTTACCTCTTGGTGTAAACTCCAGCTGGGTAATATCTGGAGCAGGTGAGACCATCCCAGGCACAATATGGGTCTCTAGCCAGACAGCAGTCAGCACATGCTGAACCGTAGAGGTCACACTGATGTAGTCTGACTTGTGCAACACCGACTTCTGACCCGACATACAGCTGTTGCTGTGGAACCAAAGATGTAGGTCATCAGCTAATTAGTTGTTCTGAAATCAGATCTTTGCATTTTTATTTCGTCTTGTTTTCACTCAACTGAGTCACTTAACCAAAAATAGAGGTAGAGGCTAAAATAGGCTGGAGGTCATTTAAATAGTCTCGCTGCCGTCTTGTGCATATTGTTCCGCTGTTGTCATCTTGTGGCAGAACTATGCAACTGCATCTAGATGCATGCTGAATATTTATAGGATATCTTACCCTTTTGGGTGATATTATGATCTCTTTGATTGGAGCTGGGACCTGGAAAGAAAATGCATAATTTTGTATTTAAAAATGCAATTGAATCGTATAATCATGGTATAATATAAATAAACAGTGGTGACATTTCTACAATGTTTCTAGGTTTTCTTCCATAATTGTCACCCAGATTTATTAATCTTAAAACTAGCAGAAACTTCTAATTGTCAGCTAATTGTTATACGTAGAATGTCATGCAAAATCAATAATATTCTGGGCTAACAATGCAGGGCCCCGAATCTGCTAGGGCTCTAATTAATTATTTTGATTTTTTCCAATAAACACATGTTTTACAAACATTGAACTTTACATAAATTTCATAGGTCCATATCAAGTGAGGCATTTTCATATTGTTGAATTTTTACGAAAAGTTTTTGAAAATTATAAAATCATTGTATTTTTTCAGCAACAACATGAAGTGATTCTGCTATGAACTTTTTCATTTGATAATGCATCAAATTCCTACCAGTTAACTTAGTTAACCAAAACTGGCTGCAGTCTAGGTGTCCATGTCTTTCTGATTTTGGCCCCGCTTATAACCTCATAATTTTACAGAGACAAACTAAAGCATGTTTTGTTGAGGTACTTTGCTATGCGGCAATGGTAAAGTGGAAGAAAAATAATACTGCATGGTTTTCTACATCCTTTACAAGTACAGATCTAAAATGTGGGTATGCATTTCCATCTCTGGGTGAATGTGCTTTTGCTGTAATGTCTCAATAAGTTTTATACATTTTGACCATTCTTCTGTGCAACGTACCTTGCTCAGACTAACGTTTTAATCCATGAACCATAATTTTCAAGTACTGTCAGAGATTCTCAATAAGATAGATCTAAGCCATTTTTTTGCATGTGAGTGATTTGATCTAAATCACTGTATTATATCTCAGGCCATATGTGTTTCATCCTGCTTCAGGCATCCCACCCATGGGGATTGTGAGCATTTTAACACCCACACGTTTCCCCATGACTGGATTCAACACCCAGACATTTTTCTATCGTTTTAAACAAAAGCTTTCCTGCCGACGCTTTGTCTCTGTCCGTGTCTCTAGATCTGCAGCGTCAGCGGCGAGAGTGCTTGCCTCCTCGCCTCCCACTCCCACTCCTGTTCCTTGAAACTCAACACCAGCTCTGAGTTAGACAGGTGTTGTGCTAAAAAGTACATGCCTGTCGACATTTGCTCACAAGGAGGCGCACCATTATGTGAACTGATATTGTTTCCAGTTAGGCATCCTAACACAATGTGCTTCCCCTGCCTTGGGCATGCAAACTCTGTGGAAAGAGTGGTACATATTAAACTGAAATGAATAATGTAAAACCTATATGTCTCCTTGTGGAGTTCCAAGTGTATTGCAGACTTGGGGTTGGAAGGGATGAGGTGCAGGCAGTTCTTTTTGTGAATCAATAAGACTGAAGTATGGCTTTGTTTCAAACATGCAGAAGAAGCCGGTGAGGTCGTGATCCAGTTGGGGAGGGAGGTCATCACAGTGTTGGGAGGTGGGCTCCTGTACTTAATGTTATTCAAGCTCCTCCAAACTACTGCTGGATCATTAGCTGAGAAGCTGCTTTTTATCTTATCACTTTAGGTTCCCAGCTCTTAGCTGGTCCTCACTGCTGTAAGCCTTCATGTAAAAAATCCTTGGTCGAACACAGCTCTCTAAACTTCAGAGTAAAGCATGCTATATTGTTATATGTGCAAAAGATTTTTAGACTGCATCAACATGTCATCACAAAACTGATGTATGATGACAGTTTCAGCTAGCTTGTCCAGATAAGCTGTTGCAACTACAAACCCCCTTCAAGCTGTGCAGTCAAAGCAGGTCCGTTATATCAGTTTCATTCAGTTCAATCCACTTTCTAACAGTTCTAACCCCAGAATTAGAGGTTTTCACTTTGTGCCTATGAATTAGGATGAGACGAAGAAGAGAGAGACTCGGGGATCCTAAAACCACATGTGGGACCACGTGGTTCTTTATGTGCTCTTTAGCAGTGGTCCAGTGTGTTTTCATCCTCTGTGGGACAATTGATATGCTGTCTGCATTTTGAAAGTTTATTAGTTTTGTGCTGTTAAAAAGCCACAAGGACAATGAAGCAGAGGACAGTAGATCCACAGAAGTCTGAAAAAGAGTGACTTGTTGGTTTTATTTGCCAGGAAGTAAACATTTGCCAGGTGTAGAGGCGGGAGTGGAGGACGGAGTCCCTGCTAACATAGTTTGTCAAGTGTGCAGTACAAATGTGGGAAACCACACAAAGTACAAGCGGGTATAACATGAAGGAGACCACCCATGCTGCCACCTTGTGTTGTGTTGCCATTTTTATGTAATAACATAGAACAAAGATGCATCAAGAGTACCAGATATGTCTGATCTAACTGATAGTGAATAGCCAGCTGATTGCTCTTCTTTTGCTTTCCCCTTTACAGAAGAGTGCAAAAGCTTGAGATATTGTTTTAAAATCTAACTCTGCTTCAAACATGGTGTGGCTGTGGTTCAAACTTCATCTCCTGATAAACAAGACACTTAATTTTTAAGTGACCTACTTATCTACATGTACGAACAAGTGCTGTTGGGCAAATTTGTGTCTAATGTGTGTCCATAGCTCTTTAAGTGATCAGTAAGATTAGAATTGTAAATTGTTTAAACATCCCCACTTATCCTTAACTTGTCATGTGTTTTTTACACTTCATGTCGCTGATTGTTTACTAATGTTCTCTAACAAACCTTGGAGGTCATCACAGGACTGCTGTATTTATTGGAAAGGTTCGAACTTGTCCGTACTTCACAATGAGAGCTGAATGTGTCCTCATACTGGAGGTGGTAAGAACAACAACAAAGTTCTTTTTGGCCAGAAAATCTTCATATTTATTTCAAGCTTAGAACTCCTGGTAAGTCTTCATAAGTCTCTCTTAGCATTTGTTAGTGACCTATTTCATGTTTCTGACCAAAAAAGTGATAATATAAGACAGAAAATCTGTGAAAAATATTGAGCTCCAATCAGAGCCAGGAGGAAGATCAAAAGGCCTGTCAAACACACACACACATTGCAGCTTTATGCTGCAATACAGAATGATTAACTAGAATAGTGATTGTCCTGAATTTAAATTGGACTTGTGAACTGTGTGAAGTGTGTGAAGTGTGTGCTGTGTGTGTGTTTACACACCACGCATTTATCTATTATAACATAATTTTTTTATTTTTTTATTTTATTTTTATTTTTTTTTGCTAAGGGGAACGTCCCATGTAAAACATGCTTGTTAGAGAGGCCAATGATCAAACTACTGGGTTTCCTCTCAGTGTACAGCCTGTTCTATGTTGCAGACTGCACATGCCTCAGGAGTTTATTTGATAGCTGAACTTGTCTAGAAATAGCAAATTTGTACATACTTTTCATCACTGCATAGCTATGTTCTAATTCTAATTATCTGGTGGCAAGCAGAATAGAAAAGGTCTTTTTGCTTTTAAACACAAGCACCCAGTCACATCCTCATAAAACAACAACTAAATATTTTATTTTTAATCATGTGACAATGTGCCCCTGAAGTAAGACTTATACCTCCTATCTCAATAAGTCAGACAAATGCCACAGCCACGTCCAGTTTATATGCATTTAGCTTGAAAAGGTTTTTTCATATGAAATATGAAGTACCTTGAAAATGTGCAGCTCCTCCAGCAGCACCTCCTCTACTGTGTCTGTGTCTTTGTTGTAGATTGTGATAACTTTCAAAACCACAGAGTCATCTAACAACAGAAAACAACAAATCTTAAATTGTATCCTTGCTTCTTCCCATGCTTTATAGACAATGTAATGTAAATGCTGTAGTTACATTGTGCTGGTATTTAAATGCATCTAATCCAGTGTGCTTTACCAGTGCCAATGTAGAGAACATGGTAGTGTCCATCCTGTGCTTGGACTTTGTCGACTGCAATCTGGGTCAGCTTTCTTCTGCCTGGCTCTGACTGCAGGAGAATAGGTCTGTGGTGATGTGGAAGGACGGGACGATACATCACAGGATGAGAGCGCACGAACCGCAGAACCTCATCGGGAAACTCCTTTGAGCTGGAGAAACCTCCACCATTCACTTTACTGGCACACTGTTAGTGAGATGGTTTGACAGAAATAAAGAGAGTAGGGGAGATTTAACAGCAGACAAAAGGAGACTAATCACTGTGTCAGCACTTGGCAGTGCATGAAGAAAAAAGAAATTCATTAGTCAGATTCAGACTATCCTAGTGTGAACCGCTGACGCAGCTACAACAGTTGGACATTTAGAAAAGCTGGGTAACACTCTTTCAACATTGTTCCCTTGACAAGACATTTATTGTGAACACAAACTTGGTGAAATGGAGAGCGTTGAGAGTGAATCTGGTAATTACATCCATTAAATGTCGAGTATAAAAGATTCAAGGCTCACAGATCCAGGTCGAGGGTACGGGACTCTGCCTTCATATGGTGTCCAGTGATGCTCAAGTTTCTCTCGGTATGCAAATGGTCCGTTGAAGGCTGCCCTTATGTCTTCCATATGATACATACACACAGCATAGCCCTTAAACACGGCACTGTAGAAGAAGGTTTTATGAGTTATTTGATGGAGAATTTATGTTTAATTCTGAAGCCATCCTCTACTCACCTTGTTGTGCTAAAGAGGCCAAATATTTCTGGGTTTTTTTCATCTTTCTTTGTGAGCACAAACACATCCTCTAAAAGAAAACAGACAAAAGCGAGTTTGATGTTTGGCCTTAACTTCCATTTCTGATGGAGGTCAAAGCTTATTTCTGTATTCTTACCAAGATCATCAAAGTGTGTATCAATGCCATTTGGTCCAGGCACAGAACAGATGAGGCGAGTTTTCAGGAAAGAGCTCCATCTGTTTACCAGCATTCGCTGTCCTCCTTGGTCATTCTGAGAGATTCACATTGTGATTTTACCTGTCAGAGTTGACTGAATTGTGCTCAAATACGTTTCTATGGCGTAGGCATTCTCACCGCACACACACGCCCAATGCGGGTCAGGATTCCCCGGTTCACTCCTTCTCCATCAGTCTCCCGCTCAGTGAAGAAGAAGTAAACTTTATCATCATCTCTGTCATCGTTGTCAGGGATAACTGCTGACCCCACAAACTTGGGCTCTGGAGAAAGAAGAAAGAATGTTTTATTGTTGAAAAAACAGAATGAAAAAAGTTTTCAATGATGCAGTGACTAGAGCAAATAGCCCTATGGTTTTGTTTGTTTGTTTTGTTTTTCTTTGACAAAATGTTGTACAAGTATAAATACCCATTGAACTTTTCCACATTTTGCTATGTCACAACCACAAATTTCAATGTATTTTATTAGACGTTTCTCTGACAGACCAGCACAAAATAGTGTGAATGGAGAAAAGAGGAATAGTTTTCAAATGTATAATTCTGTTGTGTATTTGTATTCATCCCATTTTACCTTGATGTCCAAAAATAAAATCTAGTTACGTTATTATTTTTATCATACAGGCAAAATGCTGTGTGCAATAAAACTAAATTTGCCCAGTCCGGACAATAAAGCATGGCAATGGCAGCGTCATGCTGCGGGGATGCTATTCTTGTTGTAGGTAATTGTAATGTCAATTTTGATAAATACTGTTCAGTTCTTGAAAAAAATTGTTAAAAACTTATAAAAACTTGAGACTGGCATGGAGGTTCAACTTCCAAAGGACAACAATGTACGCGGGAGATGCAGACAAACTCCAGCTACTGCTGAAGCAAAATGTCATTTTCAAAGTTCACTCTGGAGGAGTGGAAACATATGAACACTACACTTTTAAGATTGTTTTTTTTTTTTTTTTTTTTAAAAAAAGAACAAACTATGTGGTATTTTCCATCCACTTTACTGATACAAACTACTTTGAAACCAACCGTTGAGCTGCTGCCTGTCGTTTCTTTCGGTGCGCGTGTAGGTGTGGTTGTTAAGTCGACACAAAGCACCATCGTTCTCCCAGTAGTCGGTATACAGGCCAATATAGAGCTCTCCTCCTAATTAATGTAGAAAAAGAGAGAAAGAATGCGAACATTTTCTAAACAGATGAAGTACTGATAAGATGTTAACCACAAGGTGGCAGTATTTACTGTTGAGAAAGGAAATAGTTCTTACTAGAAAGTGGACTGAAATTAAAATAGCTGCGCTTTTAGCTCAGTTGATGGTGAAATTAGAAGTGGAATAATTAAATTCTTACTGCGAAGTGTTGACATGCAAGAACTGTTGGGGTCAAATGGACAGCGTCCCTTCCCACTTGTAACACTCTCCTCTTCAACAGCAAACGTTGTTTCCTGAGGGCAACACGCAGAAAATATGTACTTAATCATTTCCATGAAAATTTTCACAAACATAAACGCCACAGCCGCACTCTGAGCAGCAGCGCCTCCAGCATAAGTGAGACCAATCCCTGAAGAGGATGTGGGGAATAAAAGAACGGGCAGAATTAAAGGAGGGATCATAAAGTGATGGATGGAGAAAGAGAAGAGGCAGATGAGGAATAAAGTGATGGATGACCGAATGGACGACTTTCACATAGAAGTGTGTATCCAGCTTCACTCTGCCCTTTCATTGATGTGGAATCCACACTCATCTGCTCTGCAGGCAGCTGAAGTGTGCACACACACACGCTCAAAATGAGCTCCATGGAGAGCCACAACTCACACTGTGGGCCACCTCAAAAATCTTGACAGTTACTGGCATTTCAGTGTTGTAAAGCCACATTCTGTCTTGATTTATGAGTGGTCACAGAGCTCGACTGTGCTCTGCCTATATGGAGGCAACACAAGTTAGTTTCTGTCCTAAACTCATCCATCATGGAGGGTGAGCTCTTGAAAGTAAAGCTAAAATCGCCACGCACATGCACATCATCGGTGTTGTTTTGTGCTTAGATTGTTTAAAAAGAACATTTTTATTTAATTGTAATGTCTGAGGTGTTGATGTACTACTCATCAGCCAGTGTCTGACCTGATCAATAGCAGTATATCATGTTGTAATTTATGGCAAGATAAATATGATTCATCTCAGAGCTAATGCCTACTGTGACCTAAATGTAATATCGTATGCCACATTTAAGATTTGTGTTTCCAATACGCCCATTAATCAGCCATATCGATGTAGTTATGCTGAGCATTGAACATTCCTGAGCTGAATGATGGCTAAGTGTTGTTTAGTTTACCTATTGTGCAAGTGTGAGTGGGCAGGGTGGAAAGCTCCCCCTGCCCCCCTCCTCTTTCCCCTGCCTAAACACTGCAGACACAAACTTAATCTGTCTAGCTTTTTTACATGTGGGAAATATGTGTCATACTCTGTCCATACATGCTGGCGCTGATGCATGCAGTCAGTTTTGGTTGCACATCACTTTCCATGAAAGACAAGCAAGTGCTATTCACATGCTGAAGTAAACATAAATTAATCTTTTTCTAGTCTGAAATTTCCTTTCTGCAGAAAGCAGCAGCACCTGGGCTGATCCCCTTGTTTACTTGTACAGCTGGGATGGCAGCCTTTAAAAATATGAACAAGGGTCTGTGCCAAATACCAATATATTTATTCAAAAAGTATATTTCTTCTTTCCCTTACTCGGTGTCTTTTCCATCTTCACATCACGTCACATCCTTTGTGCAAAGCACATGAACTAGTAAAGGAATACTTTATGTGCAGTGTTTAATAGCTCAGCAGTCCAAGGTGTGCTAAGTGTTTTAAAAGCTCCAGACTGAAACAGAATCAGAACTTTCCAGCTAGGGTTCAAGCAATAAAATTTATGACATATGACTATTTACAATAAAATAGTCAGCCTTTTTGTTTTTTTTTTCCATTTCATCACTCACCTGCCCTTTGTGTCCCACTTTGACCAAGGCACAGATGGGATTAAAGGCTCCTGTTCCACAGACCAGCAAATGAGTCTGGTTGTATTTTTGCAGGACTTTAATGTAGTTTGCACATTCAGGCTGTTGAGATAGAGACGTGAAACGTATAGTAAACATTGTGCCGTGGGTGAGGTGTGGGTTGTGATAATGTGAACATAAAATGGGCAAAACATTTTGTAGTGCATAATCAGTGCCATAGGTTGAACAGATAGGTCCTTTCAATAAATTAGAATATTATTGAAAAATCTATTTATGTCAAGAACTTTACCACTAAGTGAAACACATTATGCGGCATAACTACACACAGGTCACACAGTTGATAAATACATGACATTTAAAATTGGAATATTACATCAGACTACATCAGAAATCGTTACTGTTTAAACTTTACCTTTAATAACATAAAGTTACCTAATTTTTAAAGTGCAATCAGTAATACTTTTAGAACAAATTTATATCAGTAATTATTTTTTGGTTAATGTCAAGTTGTCATAACAAAGACATTTTGAATAATGTCAACTTTGTATTATAATTTTCATAATTTACCGAATGACGCTTTATGACAACAGTCATAAATATTCATGAAGGCTTATTCATGTTCATGACAGGTGTTTATGACAGTGTCATGTCAGTCTTATTCACCCCCCTTCAAATAAAGTGTTACCCAACATTCCTTACCTTTTCCCTTCCCTTCATCATGCACTCCTCTATCTGAAATTCAGTACTCGCCCAGTTAATCTGAAAGAAAAGCACAGTTTCCACATATTTGCATATTTGTCCACTAGTTGTGTTGTGAACAAAGTAGAATACTTAATTTGTATTAAAAAGAAAAGTAGATTTTTTTTCTGCATATTTGATAAGCATGAAATATATCTTTCTACTTTAATCCTTCAAAATGTAAAGTCATGCATAGTAATAGCATTAATTTTAAACACAAATCTGAGAATTCTTTCTCACACATATGTATGTCCAGTTTCGGTTTATCACCTGAACATTTTGAAACCCAACACGCAGAAGAAGCCCAGCCCACCTGTCTGTAGTGAGCATTCACTCTGTCCAAGTTGAGGGAGAACAAAGCATTCTTGGCACCAACATAAAGCCTTTGGTGGCTCTCGTCCAACAACATGGTCTGGGGCTGAAGAGGCATTCCACGTCCCTGGAAGATCCAGGTCCTGTTCGTCTGCCAAAGCTCTGTGTGGACATTCATGCAGAGTAACTTTGTTACTTTATTAATTGCATATGAGGGTAAATGTGCAGCATTCTGAGAAACAGTCACAGATCATTTTAATGCCAATAAATAACACTCAGTCCTTACGGATTGCAGATTTCTGAAACAAGTTTACAGTTTTTACATCAAGTTGTGCATTTTATCTCAACATGTAGTGCTATTTAATTTTGCTTATTTTGACAGGTTACTTGTTGAAACTGCCGTCAAACATTCGCAGTATAATTAAGGAACACAGACTGAAGACCCAACAAAGACGCCATCTAGCACCACCAGTTTTAAATCAACATGGGACGTGTGTGTGTGTGCGTGCGTGCGTGTGTGTGTGAGTGTGTGCATGGATAGTTGTACTGTGTCCCTCAGTGTTCCATTGTGGTGGACTGGCCCCCTGTCCAGGGTCTAAATGACCACTGTGAATGGACACCGGCTCTCCGCCCTGTGACCTTGCAAGGATACGTTGGTAGAGGCAGTGAATGGATGGATGAATGAATTAATGAATAAATCTTTTAATAAATAACTAAGTAACACAGTTGACATTGCAGTGCTCCCTTTTAAAAATGTAAATTTGCATGAAAACTGACATTATCTGTTTTAAATTATTAAGTTTTCTTTATTTTCCAATTTCATATATTAGCAGTTTTAAGATGAAGTTTAATCAAATTAGTATATGCCAAAAACAATTTTTAAGAGGAGTTTTCTATTCATATTAATATAGAACTTCAAATATTAAGGGATTCATCATACTTTCTTGGGAAAATGGTTTCAGCTATGCTAAACCAGCAAGAATGTGTCATTTGAAAATGCTTGTTAGCCCAATAAGAGCAACAATGGATGTCCTGGACAAGGAATAAAATTAAGGAATAAAACATTTTTATTTAAATCTGTCTGTATGATCACTGTATTTCAATAGGTAGATAGACAGATGCTTGCACATTATCCCTTTTTTTAAAATTATTATTTCTAATCATGTGAGTGAGACTTTGACATCTTTATGTTTAAGTTTTATCTTTGAATGTTGCACAAATGTCTCCTATTTTTGAATTTAGCTGTGTGTTCGCCATAATACGTTAAAGCATACTAAGGTCAAAGCCAACCTTAAAAGCCTCAATAAATTTTTGAAGGTTTGATTACGACCCCATGTCTAGGACTCTGTCAGAAAAGACACTGTAACAGCAGGACATCATTCTGGGAAGATGTTGTATATTTGATTTACTCTGCTCTCGTCTTGTGGTCTTTTTAACTGTGAGAAAGCTCTTTTATCTGTCAGGAAACTGCACCAGTCTCTTTTTCAGTCATTAGTTTAAATCTACTCCCACTCCCACTGTGAAATGGAAGCAGTTGCACATTGGGGGTATGTCATTAAACACACACACACGCACTCATCAGAACATATCAAGGAGATATTTTAATGCACTTTTGTCACAGCCATACACCTACTCCTCACTTTCTTTTCATGACTGGATTTGGCAGACTGGTCCTCCCTACTTTTTTTTTTTTCAAGCTTCTGAAAGGTCGTGGGTGATGGATATAAACTAAGCCTTAAACCACCAGAGGTGTGTCCTTCCTCTGGGTTGAATTGACCTAAAAGACTTTCATTTCCACATGATGGGGTTGGACTCAGTTCCCTCATAAAAGAAAAAAGGGGAATCTGGTGTGTGTTATAAGTTCCTGTGAGACCTCAGGCATATAAAAGCACATTGGCCTTTGTGCTCAGGTTACCTGTAGTTGCTTCAGTTTGGCTTAGTTCGACAAACTTAGGGGATTTATGTAATGTCTTAGAAAATAACTTTACAAAACACTGTCAGCTATGCATATGTAAATGCATGACAAAAGTAAGATTCAGCAACTTCCTAAAAAAAAAAAAAAAGAGGTTAGCTTCTTGCAGGGCAGGTTTCAAAGGAGTAATTGCGTGATTTGTTTTTCTTGGATCTATATATTTTCAGTAACACATGATCTGTGGTATAGATGGAGAGAATGTTTATTCTAATTCTGTAGATCATGCAAAGCAACCACACTTCAGTCAGTGCAGACGTTTATTTGTTTAGAATGGGATTAGGTGTCCAGAGAGGAGGAGGTGACTGTGTATATTTTGTTGCTAATAAAATGTCTAAGTTAGAGACTGCGACTGTTTGTTTGAGTTGCATTAGGTCTTGGGTGGTTAGGAGGTATAGACAGAAGGGATGTGGCAGTTGTGTTTTGCCAAGGCTCAGACATGCTTCCTGTAATTATCGAATCCACACACACACACACACATGCGGACACGCACACACACGCACACAGAACAGCTCTCTGTTTCTCTCACACACAGATGTCTCTATTTTCTGGTTCCTCTTTGACTTGAGCTGAACTTGTATCAAGGACACCGCTCTTAACTTTGCTCTCAAACAATCACCTTTTTGTTCTTGGAAGTTTTAATTTGCTTCCATCAATTCAAACGATTCACCCAGGTGACTATTTAAAGTAAGACAACAAGAGTCTTTTTTATTTTCCATCTGCATGTCTTTGTCATGAAAATGAGTGGTAGCAGAATTGTTTTGTCGCTCTATAAAGTTCTGCCCTCTGTAAGAAAGTGAAACAGAACATGTGCCTATTATAGTAATTATAGGTAATCAATGTTACTAAAATGCAACAGGTAGATCTCTTGATTACACAGTCGGACTCACAGATGACTCAGAGCAGTATTTTGAAAGTTTCTCCTCTGTCATTAAAACAGGCAGCCACTGATCAAAGTGAATAAAAAAAGAGGGTATTTCCAATTTCTCCCATTCCTCTTTGCCTATTTCCTGTCATTTGTACCATCTGCAGCCAGCGAAGGCTCCTGCGCCATTAGTTGAAAAGCCAAAAAGGGGAGGCTGGCATTTTTTTTTTCCCATCAACCACTGATCCAGGGAGACACATGGCCTCACTCTTATCCCATTTCAAAAGGAAATCACAGAGAAAAGGGACTGCCTCAAGACAGGGATTTTCAGCAGCTGTCTGCAGAGCAATGACAGATGCTAGAGTAGATTTGCCTAAGTAAAATTAAAATAAACATTCTGATCTCGTTTTTACCCATGTTGCAAAACAGCACTTTGCAACAATTGGGGAGAAAATTTTAACGGGCATAGGCTCTCCAGCAGCTTCTAAGTGTAGCCTAAAACACACAGTGGAGGCTGTGATTTATTAAACCACAAAACCTCTTTTGTGTTTTTCAGAACTTCACCTTTGTGTTGTTAGCCTTAAAGGTGAGCCCAGGCAGATACAACAAGAATATACAAATTCCTTGCAAAAAACGACATTAGAACTCATCAAGGGACGGTTGTAACCACCAAAACCACCGTACCGATACCGTTGGAGCCCGTTAGATTTTCTATTTTAATTCCACCTTTAGGGAGTGGTTAGTACATAATTGATGCCAGAAATAAAACTTGGATTAAGTGCTCTCAGACTTCCAGCTAAATGTGCTTTCAAATATGGTTACCTATTGGGGTGTGTTGACTCACGCGAGGCCACAAAGAGATTGAGTGGGGTGATGAAGTGTTTGAAGGTGTAAACACGGACAAGCAGACCTTGCCTTGTGACGCAGAGGTCTGATTGAAACCATGAAGCTCATGAGGGTGTTGCTGGGTGTTGTGACTAAATGTTATGCCCTTTATTTTTACATTCTCTTTTGTAAAAGGGAGATGATGTCACATTGGAAAATGAAAGCCACATGGAGGACGGGAGAAATGGTAAAGTTTTTTTTTTTTTTTCTCTGAGTTGTTACAGCTGTTAGAAACCAAGACGTCGCTTTTCAATTTTATGAAACATTGCAATTATCATACACGTAACATGAGGAGTGTATTTTTAACATGCTTTCACGAGAGATACTGTCTCATATTTTACTTAGAATAATTCCTCCACTAATTATAAAGTTTTAAGTCATCGGTTATACTGATACAGTCATTGCTTGTATTTGAGTCCCTTACTAAGTTCACCTCCTGGTCCATGGTGACAGCTGCAAGCAAAATAATTCACAACATTGGCCTTTACGTAGCACATATAAACCTTTGGGAGGACCTCATGATTAGGGTAATGGTGAGGAGGCGCCTCCAACGTTCCAACGCCAGGACTCTCTGACTTTGTTGCCAAACATCATTGGACTAAATTTTTTAACTATCATATTACTGGGTCTAATTCTGCTTCAGGTGTGATTTTTGTATTTTTATTTTTTACAGATGTTTTCCATTTTTCCTAAGCACTCTGTGATATATTGTAGGAGCCTATGATAGTGTGGGGTCCTGGTGGTGCTGTAACAAACCATGACTATTCCACTTCCATGCTTTGCAATTTGCTCGAGGTTATTTGCCAAACATTCTGCTTATTTTGGTGTCCTAGCAATTCAGTTTAAGACTAATCTCTGCAGAGAATGTGCGTTCTCTCTGACAAACTTCAGTGTGGTGCTTGTGTTTTTCCTTTAGAGAGCACTGATTTACTCCTGGCATGGTACCAATGGAAGTCAAACTTTTGCAGTCTGTTTCTGAATGTGCAATTTTGATCTTTCACATCAATGTTAGCCAGGGTCTGCTGTAGGTAATGAAATGATATTCTAGGCATTTGGGTAGCTTCTCCCACATTTTTGTTACGTGGGTCTGATGCGACGTGACTGCTAATGAGGTTTAGCTATTGTAATCGACAACAAATTTGACAATAATACTGACATTAGGCATAATGCCTGCCATTGATTTATCACTCCAACAATGAACGACTTCTACCTGATGGTTCTTTATCAGTTTTAATGATTTTTCAAATGTAGATAATTCAACTTTCTCTTTGAAGACCTGAATATCCCCCCAATACTTTATTATGGGAACAGTTTGACTCCTTTCCCTCTTCCCTGCACAGAGAAAAGGTCAGAAAAGGTATTAGATATTCACCAGCTGCCTACCCCTCTGGACATCTCATTATCAAACAGTAGAGCAAAAACATAACACAGAGGGAGAAGGTGAAGCTGAGATATACACACATAAAATGAATAGGGCACAAAGCTGAGCTGGGAAGATAAAGGAGAAGGTAAAAAAAAATATTACTTTAGTTTTCTCTAGTTGCTATTTATCTGAACTTCAGCTTATCTTCCATTTTCCACATGCTTGGTTTAAATGTCTGCACAAACACTTTGTTTTAGACATTATTGAAGGTGATGTCCATTTAACGTAGGCCTCTTTTCATGAATGAACAAAAGTTAATTGGACTCCTCACCTGCCACATTAGAAGAAATGAGTAATAGAAATTCCCACCCTAATTTTGCTCCATGCATACTGGTTTCCCCCAAATTACCTACAGCTCCAAGGTCTGGGGGTTGTAAAAAATATATAGTGACAGCTTTCTGTTCTCAGGAGAGGGAGGTCTAAAATTACAGTTCAAAGAGAGGCTTCACACACCTGTAATTGCCACCCGAGTAATCCCTGTGTTTATGTACCTTGGAGTTTTTTTTTTTTTTTTGTCTAACTCATAGTTTTATCAGAAATGCTGAGAACAAAAACCTCCCAACCACTGCTTTGGCAATCAGTGCTTCTACCAACGTGATCAGATACATTTTTTGTGTCGGCACAATTATTTGTTGATTTTAGAAAAAGTGTGTATCAGTTACACATGCAAATGCATAAAGTACACATGAGCTCTGGCCTCAAGCATTCTAAAAATTATTAGAAGTAAATGCAAGTCTAAATAGATACATGAACATATATATTACATAATGCTTATGTATTAGGCAGACAGAGTATTTGTGAGATTATTATTTATTAAATGATGATGTTAGTTTAAAATGCAGTCATTAAACAGCTAAGTTTGGTCGAATGTCCATATCTAAGTGAATGTTTAATAATTCCAAAAGCATTTTTTTTTTTATATCTGGGATCTATTACTGAAAAGAATACTACATGAAACATATAATCATCATGTATAGAGAAAATATTCTGAATATTCACAAAAACTGATTTACCAAAGAGGTAAATAAAACAAATAAATTAATTAACAGAGTAATCAAATGGCTGTGGGTCAACTCACCCATTTGCCAATTCATACCCCTACTTTCATTGTCCCATGTAGCCATTTTATCTCTATCTACTTCATAGGTAAGGAAATCACTTCAACACTATGTATGTATTTGATTTAATATTATTTTCTAGAAACTTTGTATTTCTCTGTATTTCCATCAGCCTTGTTTCTGATCTTGCTTTGGTCAAATCGACTGATGAAATGACTAAATATGACCCATGACTAAGCATGGGTCAGTAACGTTTTAAACCATCTGTGTAAAGTTACTGTATAATTTTTTAATATTGTTTGAAGCACAGAGTAATGTAGCGCTTACTTTGCCAAACCTGTTACTGTTCAAGACTGATGAGCTGTTTTAAAACTGCAGTTAGAAAATTTGGTGACATGTCCAGGTAATAAAAGGATGCTATGTTTTTGTTTTCAATTTCAGTGTTTAGAACATTGATGCTCTGCCATTTTTATTCAAAGTTATAATAATATGAGAATTTGTTCCAGTGAAACCTAGCTTGATCAAACTGAAATAACTCTAAGCAATCCCTTGACTATGGTTAGAATAAAGGCAAATACTAAAAATCTTTGGGTGTGAATACATGTAAATTACATGTGCAAAATGACCAGTAAATAAACAAAACAAGATGTTCTCTACTAAGCATAGGGCACTTGTTTAAGTCAATTACTCTCAATATTAAACTATAAAATATTTTTCATTTAAGGTTTGTAACTATCAAAACCTCCGTCTCACTTTTAGTAGCTTTAGGTAACATTATAGCAAGGCTGTAGAGGCAGCACATTAAATCTGAGCCTGAGCACCACCCTGCAGCCTGCTGATACTCAGACACATGCTGAGTTGTGCCACAGCTTCATTATCAGCTAAATTGATGGCTGTTCTAAAACGAGATCTTATTTCACTCCTGTAGCCTGGTGATCTCAAATAAGCTGCCAAAAAACCTGAATGATGCAAATTCAAATCATATGGAGCCCTGTTCAAAGGCATGACAATAATACAAAGCAAATAGTGTCTCTTTATCTCTGCCGGACTGTGAACATATATCCCTGCAGGGGCATTTCAGAGTGTACTAACCCATTATTTAAGAAGTCTGATTGGCTAAATGTCCAAGCAGTTAAGCTGTATTAACATCTTTGGGCATGTGTTTAAAGTCTTTGGATGTTGGGCAGCCAAAGCTTCAGGTCAATTCTTTGTGAAGACATTGTGGTTTCAGAGTTTGTAACTCAATACTCTGTGTGATTAACATAGCAGCCCTGAGTTACAAGGGAGTGTAAAAAAGTAAAGTAGTGGCCAGGGCAGAAATGATTTTAAAGGCACACAAAATAATATTAACCAGTCCAGACATCTGCACAAAACATGGTAAATAGATAACAACAAAAGGTAATAAAAATATGCATTGTTACATTGTGTGCAAAGTGTGTGTCACATCAAAAAACAGATAAACATTGCACAGTGTGGCCGTTTTAGACACTGAAATGGCTGACGTCATATTTTATTGACCTTACTATTGATCCCAATCTATAGTTGGCCCTCCTGATGAGAAGGTTAAAAATATATCAGCCCTGACAAAATTAGCAATGCTGTCATTCATAGATGATATTTTTTCCCCCATTGCTTTTGGTACCAGATGTTATGGTAATCGTCTCACAAGCCTATAGATGAATACTTAGAACCATATTTCCCTTCATCTGTGCTGAACTGCATCCAAGTCCGTCTCGTGCAAAGAATTCACACAATTTTGCTTGTGCCGGTGTGTTTAACTATGTATGCTTGCAAGAGTTTGTGTGAACCGACGGATGTGTGCAAATATAACTGGCGGAGCCCACAGGGCATATATTAGGACTTTAGATGTTTATCATTCCATAATGATAGGATCCAAGTGCAGGTTTTGTCTTTTTCCTGGTGTTCTGTGCTAGCCAGAACATGTATCAGAGAGTCAGGGATGTCAGTCATCATGGCAGCTCTGCCCTCAGGTAGGTAAAAATAAAAAAATAAAAAGAACGGATCATAGATGAAAGTTATAACCACACCTGATATTTATGTGGCAATACTTACTAATCATGTAGGCAGTTGTGTGATTAATATTGTTGATGCACTAAATATAGAAGATTTATATATATATATATATACTTTAATTCCTTAGTTAATTTCATAATGGCAGTGGTGATGTGGAAAAAAATTCTGCAATGCATTGTATTACATAGCCTGCATAATTCCCTATCGATAGACAAGACTCGTCAACTCGCATTAAATTCTCCGAGTGCATATGTACGAGTTAAAAAACCGTCCAAATTCCACACCTATTTCCAACCATGACTAACAGGCTTATGTGGAATTATCGCCTCCTGTTGCTGTAGAGATCAAAGGAAACTTAGAAAAATACAGTGTTTACTCAAGAGTTTTTATCTGCAAAGATAAAAACCCTCATTATTGTCAAAGAGATACACAGCAATCAGTCCGCATACCAGTGCATGCACATCCAAATCACCCACTCCCATACACAAATAAACACCCACAAGCACATAGACACTTGTCTCTTACTCACAGACACATTCCAGTTTCAAAAAGAAAAAGAAATGTATTCCGTCACTCCGCCAGTATGGCATGAGAGAAAGCCACATTGTGGATTGTCAACCACCCTAGCTGAGAGACCAAAACAAACTGTGAGGAGGCCACGGAAGCATCAGTTGTGTGTAAAAAATAATAAATAAAAAAAAAATGAAAAGTGCTCGGTTATATATATCATATTTTAAATGAGAAATGGTAAAAGAATAATAAGGTATGAAAGAATCTTTTAGAATCTAATCAAATGCCAACTTTCATCTTTCATCAGCAGCGATGTGCAGCAATACTTGAGGTGCAACTGAAAAATTAAATATTTTTTCCACCTTAAATTTCAATGCTACTCTTGTCTGAAGGACAACCTAGGTGGAAAACCACATTGTCCATACCAATAGCCTTATAGTTACTATTTCTAACCTAGGAAATATTATTTTTTAGTCATAAAAAACTTTTGTTTTATCAACCTGTGTTATTTAAAATGTGAATTCAGAATTAGTCAGTAACAGGCGTCTATTTAAAAATAATGCTGTTACACCCACCCCACTCTCAGTTTGCATTCTGAGGGGACTGCAATATAAATTCAGATCACTTTCACTTCAGACTCTGTTAATCCATGTTTTTTTTTTTGTTTTTTTTTAGCAGCGCAGGTATTAAATTTCGACCACACGTATATGTGATGCTTAAGGTGAACATAAAACATAAACACACAGAGTATGTGCATTTTTACCTTTGTGGGAGAGTCGTATCCTTGGGTATATGCTGTGTTTAGTGTGAGCCATTCCCAGCAGAATAAGACACAGCAGCATCAGTGACAGATTTACAGACCTTAACCATCCTGCCATGATCTCTAAGATAAGCATTTTATAGGCATTAGGTTAAAAAGCCTTGCGTCCACTCAGCATGAGCAGCAAAGTCCAAAATAATGTTGAAACTCCACAGGTATTTGTATATATATCCACTAAACACAGCAGATAGTCCTCAGTCTTCAAGAAGAATGTAGTTGAAGGTAGCAGAGCATTTTCTCAGAATCACCACTCTGTCGATCAGCTATACAGGCAGCCTCTATGCAGTGACTGCTCTCCCCTATAGCAGCCTGCTGAAAGCTGCATCCACCCACTACCTTTGGTGGAAAGGATAGTGCTTTGGCTATTATCCTTGTTTGGTCTTAGCAACCAGAGAGAAGAGAAGTCCAGTTGCTACATTCACGCCGCAGTGCTCACTGCTCTCTGTCCATATGTCAATCCGTCTGCTTTTTTTTTTTTTTGCTTTTTTTTTTTAGCTGTCAGCAAGTGCAGCGTTTGCTCCACTGTTTATGATCTGATGAAGAAAAAAACAAAAAACAAAACAAAACAAAAAAAGTGGAAAAATTTCAAGCCAGTCTCTGAATCCCATATAAGTGTTTGAGCTGCTGATTTGTAAAATCCCAGTCTGCAGAGTAAAGAGCTGCTGCTCTGTGTCTTCAGCGTGTGATCCTCCTCTCAGGTCCGCTGGGGCCAGTCATTCTCTGGACAAGAGCCCAGTAAAAGACAGAGTGGTAGAGGGGAGGAGTAGGGAGCCTCGTGCCTGGCGTGCAGTCTCTCAGCAAAGTGAGGCTTCAGCTCTTAAGTCTTTTGCCTGCTCAAGTAATCGGGGAGGATCCAAACCTCTGTCAGTCAGGTAAGATGGTTTCTACCGCATCTACTGATCTGAGGCCACCTGCCACTGTGTGGTGTGGGTGGGGGGAAAGCCTACGGGAGTAAAGTAGCTGACAATGTGGGTAGTTTATATCAGTCAGAAGGGCTAAAATGTTCCTTCGTCTTCCTCGAGACTGTCTTAAGATCTCTTTCTCCCTCCAGGGCAGCTGTGTGCTAAGAGTTCCTCTCCCATTCTGAGGGACTTTTCCCTCCTCTGAGAAATGATGCCTCCCATTTCAGTCCACAGACCACCCCCTGCTTTTCCTCCACTGCTCTCCTCCGTCACTACCTTCTCTTTGCTTCGGCTCCTGCCACACCAACATGGACCTCAGCCAAAGCAAACTGGCACTTTGTTCACTTTCAATTATTCGCCTTTGTGCTTGTTTCCATGTGGATGATTACTACCGCTGTTTCCACACATTTTCAAGCGGAAGGTTTCTTTGATTAAAGTTTTCATCTCCCTACTCATTTATTCTCTCCTCTCTGTTTATTTTCCTACCCATCATTCACACTTGTCAGTCCTTTAAAACCTGATTATTTGTGTGTCCTTGTGTCCCACATGCTCTGTTTTGATTCATCACACTGTTGTCCCTTTCAGATCTGCCTGCCACCACAATCTGTCTAATTGAGTTTTTTTTTTCTCTCTCTCTCTCTCTCTCTCTCCATTTTTAGTGAACATTTACAGGGTGTATGTGATGGTTTTAAACTTTGGTTTACAATTTCACACAAGGTACAGAACAAATTTACAAGGTCCTTCGTTTATAAAAAAAAAAGAAAAAAAAAAAAATTAAAAACCCAGCCAAAGTTTTAAATGTGGGTGATATGGCTGTCTTCTGGGAGCAAAGCAACTATTTTTGCTCCCAAACAACTATCGGTTTTGTGATGGTCATTTAGCGGAGATGAAAGAAAAATATGACCACGCCATGTATTTTGACGACAAAATGTGAGCATTCAGATTCACAGAGAGCAACGTATCAATGTAATCAATGTATTGGGAGAAAAATAATTTAAAATAATTAAAAACAACTTTTAGTTTTATTTTCTCGGTTATATTTGCTAGTGATTATCTTTATTTGAAAATTATTTTTAGTTAAATATTAAGAGCAAATGAACAAGTAAAACAGCAGTTAAGGCATGATCATCAACATAGAAGCCAGACAGCTAAAAGACAAACATTTATGAGCATAATGGGAACCAGCTCTTACAGGCAAACATAAATTAAGACACATGAGGTATATGGAATTGCAAGTGATTGTGTTGGGCTGTGGCAGCTGCACTCAACCACCCCGCACCCTCCACAAAGACCCTGAGATCTGATGACTGACTGCAACTCCCACACTGCACCTGTTCCCCCCCCAGAACAGAAGGACTTTTTGTGTACGAAGGTCTTGTAGCATACACGATATGTGTTATTCTATTGCCTCTTGTAATTATACACTCATCTGTCACCGCGGGTGAGACAACTGTTCGACGTCAGCTTCCTCCGAGTTGCTACAATCAGAGTGATTGTGACACCCAGATCATCATTTTTAACCAAGCCACTAATGCAGGGCGCATTTCAGTCTTGCATCATGACAAAAAGCTCTGCCGGCAGAGTCTCATTTCCGAAGCTTATAAGCTCCAGTCCCAGATTAATAGCCGTTTAAAGCGGTTAATGCACATCGACCAGCGGGTTCAGCATTTCCTTTCTCTAATTCCTTCACTCCATTTTACTTGCAGTAATCAATCAGAACAATGCCTCACTTAATAAACAGAAGTTTATTACTGTTTATGCCCCCTGTTATTTCTTTCTTATCTATTCTCCTCACAGCTTGCACCAAGGACTCTGGTGTGGAGCACTTTCACTTGCATACAAACACACATGCACTTTTTTTTATTTTTATACAACTGTTAAAATTCTGTTTTTTTACGCATGTCCCTGCGATTCCACTAGCACCTTGAATTCATATTGTGGGTGCAATGCGCTGGAGATATACTGAATTCGAAATATCCTGTGCTCTCTGAGTACATAAAACTTCTCAGTCAAAACATTCATGGCCACGTTTTAAAGCTCTTTCCTTTTAGTATTTTTTTTTTTTAACCCTCGGTTTGTGAATGCAAGTTTGATTGAGTGCTGGAGGCTAGCGTTTGTTTGAACAAGCCATGTCTAAAGGTCTAGCAGCCTGCTTTTAATGCTTGATGAACACAGAAAATATTTTTTTTCATGGTAGCGCTGTGTCAATATCCAGCCTGTTCAACAGAGGCCTTTCTCACCTCCTGTTTGACCCACAGAGGAAGAAACGCAAACTCTAAGCCGCCCTCCCTCCCGTCTGCCCCCCCGCCCCCGCCTCCAAAAATACGCTTTCATATTTAAACAAATACTGGTTTGCTAAATCCACTGAACTGCAGCATGCATGGGAGAAACAAGGAAATATGAAAATTCAAAGCAGGATATTGCAAAATGACTGAGCATGCATGAATATATTCATGCTTAGAAGCAAGTGTGTGTTGGCGTATTTTATGTCTGTTGCTGACCACCTGCTGTGCTCTCCCCTGCTAAAGCGAGGTCACGTCTCAGGTCTCCCACGGCAACAAGAGCAGCACTATGAGGATCCAGTGTTTCAGAGCCATGATATACTCCAAGCGTTTACACAGGTGGCTGTCATATGGGCAGTTAGGACACATGAACTCATATAGACGCTTCTCAGGCAACAGCCAGCATAAAAATAAAAAAAAATGCAGGTATAGTTGTTTCCTTGTGATCATAGACTGCGTCAGAAGATGTAGATAAGAAAACCTCGAGGCGTATAAATGTTCCCTCTGTTTGCACAAACTGCTGCTTTGCAGTCAGAGCGCTGATGGAGCTCTGTGTGATACCACGCCGAAAGAGGGAGTAGCTACTGATGAGCCACAGATGAGTGAACAGAAAGAATGATATGCAGAGGGCAAGTTTGACTTGAAATCCAGGTGTGCTATGGTTGACTTTTGAATGTGCTGAATGTGAACTTTATGAAAAATAAAGTGCATACAAGTTTAAAAACATAAGCAGATGTCACATGTCTGTAGGAAGGTAGGATATTGCAAACATTTTTGTTTCAGTCCAGTATTTCCAGCAATCTGATCATGTGGCAACAAACGTGTGTGTGTGTGTGTGTGTGTGTGTGTGTGTGTGTGTGTGCTTCTCAGTTGAGTTTCTGCAGCAGTCTTCTAAATATGTTCTCCTTTCCCACTGATAAACCCAGAAACCCCAGTGATACACAAGCTTAGTTTAATGCTATAAAAAGAAGTTAACAACCACTAATTTGGCTTTTCTTTTCTTCTAGTCATTGAGGCTTCAGGTCATACTTTTGGTCTCGTGGTTAGTAATGGGAAACCAAGCCCAGATCAATTCAATGCTGTCACAGATGGTAAAGAGGAGGAATGAGTTACACCTCTGGAGTCAGACGTGGACATGACCATCTGGTCACATTCATCATCATGGCAACCATCAAATAACCTACAGGTAAGCGGATGAGTTTGTGTACTTGACTGTGCATGTGTATTGCACTTGCAGACAGTTGTGTTTCAGATACTATTGCAGGCCTGTTAATGTACTCATTTATCTTACATTATCATCGCCCATGTATTGCACATCAACAGTACTGTTTAAGTTCAAAAGTTTAAGGTGGGAAAAAAACAGGCCTGCTAATCGTTTTTTTGCTCCACCGTCTTGTCTCTGCCTTTAACCATTCGTCTTGAGCGCACTGTGATTACTGCTGGCACAGAAAATACACATAGATTCTACAATCATGGAAAAGAGGTATAAAGTAGACTAAACATCAGCCTCCATCTTGTACTTCACTGCAGTTTGTTTCCTAACAATTTATAATCCCACTGAAATGTGACATACACAAACATTGCCTTTAACAGTAAAAGTAAATCAGAGTGATGGAGATATAGGAAAGGAGAGGAGGAGGAATCCTTTTTGGGAGACGATTCAGACAAAATGTTGGGCTGCCCAAAATGAAAACTTTAATAAAAGTTTTCCATTTTGTAAAACTCAGCATGTTATCATGTTGCAATTAAGCTGAAGCATCAAGGTATTCATTACCTCTCGGTGTGTGCGTGCGCGTGTGCGTGCGCGAATGTGTGTGTGTGAGAGAGAGAGCAAGCACGTGTATCATGTGTTAACACAAGGGGAAGGGATTTGCAATTTGTTGACGGATTGCTGCACAAACGACTAAATGTTGTGGAGGTCACACTAACAGTTTTGAGACTTTGAATTTGCTCAGAGAAATGCTTCAAGGCAATTTAGAAAGAAACTATATTAAGCTCCTACTAATGAATTTTCTTCAGGAAAACAGAAATTGTCATGAACATATGGGTCTGTTCCTCATTAAAGTCATGTCTTTTTGTTGTTTAACTGTGGTTGTCAAACAAGTTCAACTCACAAACACAAACAGTTTCTAAAATAGTATTTTCACTTTACTTTCAGTGCAGAACCAAAAAAAAAAAAAAATTAAAAAAAGCTTTTTTTTTTTTTTTTAAAAAAAAAAAAAAAAAAAAAAAGATAAAAATATATTTAGTATTATTTTAGTCTGCTTTGACTTTGGGCCATGAAAGAGTACAGGTTACCGTTAGCTTTTGGTACCAACTAACCTGAATTTATACATAATAAAAATACCACAACTATCTACCTCAGGTAAGACTTACAAACTTTTAACACAACTTCATTGAAAAAAAAAAAAAAATCTCTTTTTAATTGGAAAACTGATATTGAGGTGTGACTTCCATGCTTAAAATCCTCTGGGATCAAGATAAATTGCCTGAAAAAAAAAAATAATAATAATTGGTTTTAACTAAGCTAAATTAGTTTAGTTAAAACCAATTGCCTGAAAAAGTTAGTTTTTTTTTTCTTTTCTGTAAATTAGGACAATGATTCACACCATGACTGTTGT